CATTTCATTAGGACAGATTGGGGCAGGAAAAGGAGGAGGAGGAGGAGGAGGGGAGGAGGAGGAGGAGGAGGAGGAGGTGGTGGAGGAGGAGGAGGAGTCATTTCATCAGGACAGATCGGGGCAGGTAACAAGAGGTCGGCTAGGCGTGCCTTCCTCTCTCTCTGCCTTTCAGCTCCTTAGATCTTGTTTTCCATTTCTGAACCTAACCATCAATCCAGGTGTCATAGCAACTGAGCATTCATGGACACACGGCTGAACCTTCTTGTGTATGGATAGAGCACTTCAGCACATGCGGAACAGCACTCATCTGTGAACATCAAATATATTAAGAACATATCAACGATCAAATAGCCCTGGCAACTGAAGATTGCACTTGAAACACTGAAAGGGAAAGCAAGCGGAGGACTGTTAAGGAAAAAAAAATAAAAGGAAAACGTTGCCGCTCCTTACCACCTGGAAGATTTATTATTTTTGCTTTCTCCCTTGTTTCTGTCATGCTTCTCACACAAATCCCCTCCGCCAAGTTTCTCAACGGTTACATGCCTCCCTGATCCCCTTGGAGTCTTCAACTCCCAGAATTCCCCAGCCAGCGTTTTAAGAAGAGATTGGACAACCGTTTGTCTGAAGAGGGTTTCTTGCCTTAGCAATGGGTTGGACTAGAAGACCTCCAACACCCCTTCCAACTCTCTTATTCTATGTCATTTCTAAAATGGGATTCTTATACGGTCGACTTCAACTCCCAGAATTCCCCGGCCAGCATTTTATGAAGAGATTGGACAGCTATGTGTCTGAAATGGTATAGGGTCTCCTGCTTGAGCAAAGGGGTGGGCTAGAAGACCTCCAAGGTCCCTTCCAACTCTGTTATTCTGTTATTCAGAGTCATTTCTAAAATGGAATTCTTGTATGGTCTTCCAGCATCTTAGACTTCAGGTGCTTACTTCCGAAAGCGTATAACTTCCTAAATGTCTCGGGTCGATTTTTCTTATGTTCTTCTTTCCATCTTACTGAAGGATACAGTTGCTGCCACCACTCCCCCCAAAAACCCAGATAAAGTCATTATGCCATTGAGATATAACGGCATATGTACATACAGAGGACATTCTGCATAGAATTGTTTTATTCGTGGGTATTAGGCAGGGGTGGGATTCTACCAGTTCGCACCTATTTGCTAGAACCGGTTGTTAACCTTCTAAGCAGTTCGGAGAACCGGTTGTTAGAAGAAATTACTGGCCTAATTCTGTAAGGAAGGCAGGAAGGAAACATTCTGGTGTTGCTTACAGAACCTGCCTTTCCTTTAACCCTTATTACATTCTTGGCAGGACTAGACTTCCTCTCTCAGGAACTTCTCTGGAGCTTTTTCCCCTCCTTTGTTGGTACTTTGCTTGCGTGGAGTGACCATTCAAAGTTACGATGGCACTGAAAAAAGTGACTTATGACCATTTTTCATACTTACGACTGTTGCAGCATCCTCACAGTCATGAGAGGCCAGACGAGGAGATGCGTGCCTCGATGTGAGTGATGTTGAGTTGGCCACACCCAGCTAGTCACATGACCACCAAGCCATGCCTACCACCTAAGCCACGCCCACAGAACCGGTTCTTTAAAAAATTAATCCCACCCCTGGTATTAGGACACCATAAATAGAATAGAGTAGAGTAGAGTAGAGTAGAGTAGAGTAGAATAGAATAGAATAGAATAGAATAGAATAGAATAGAATAGAATAGAATAGAATAGAATAGACAGCAATGTGGGTTGTGTGGCTTACGGGGAGGAAACGGCCCTGATTCCCTTCATTAGCCACACCTGGGAATGAGAGTTTAAAAGAGATGCAAACTGAGTGCGGCGTCTGCTGGGAACAAACGTGAGTTTATCTTGTGTTGACTTTGGTTATCTGCGTTCCTGGCATCCTCCCAATCGTGTTGAATTACTGCCATTCCTTCACATCTGGAATTCCTTGTCTTGCCCTGCCAGATTAATTACCTCATCTTGCCTTGGTTGGACTTATAGTTACAGTTTGTGTTGACCATGTTTTGGACTTGGTTCTCTGCAGCCAAAGGCTGTTCCTGGGAGAGTTTTTCTCCAGCCCAGAAAGTAACCAGGACATTGGGGACAAAGTTGGAGCTAATAAAGGGACCCCTACTGATTATCTGACTGTGTTGCCTTTATGCCACACCCCTTTGGGTCATCACACAAGCCACCATACATATAACAGGGAGCAAACCACATACTCGCCAACGATGATGATGTTACCTACTTGGGTAATGAAACGTCTGCAAGCAAACAACCAAGTTCAGAGAGCACCAAGAACTCCACAGTAATGGGAGTAATGCAAGGCTGACAACAGTTCATTGAATGACCATAAGAATTCACAATAGCACTTTTTCACATTTTACAACCGTTGCAGCAACCCCGCGGTTACAGGATCAAAATTCAGCCACTTGGCAACTGACTTACACTGATGACGGTTGCAGTGTCCCGGGGTCATGGGATCCCCTTTTGTGACTTTCTGACAACATACTCAATGGGGAAGTCAGATTCACTTAACAGCAACATGTTACTCACTTAACAACTGCCGTGATTCACTGCTGTAAGAAAGACCATAAAATAGGACGAAGTTAACAGCTGTTTCACTTAGTAACAGAAATTTTGGTCATAGGTCAGGGACCACCTGTACACTACAAACTCCTCCTCTTCCTCCTCTTATTCTCCTTCCTCCTCCTCCTCCTCCTCCTCCTCCTCTTCTTGTTCTTCTCCTCCTCCTTCTTGTTCTTCTCCTCTTCCTCCTCCTCTTCCTCCTCCTTCTCCTTCTTCCTTTTCCTTATTCCTTCTCCTTCCTCCTTTTCCTCTTCTCCTTCCTCCTCTTCCTCATTCTCCTCCTCCTTCTTGTTCTTCTTCTCCTCCTCCTCCCTCCTCCTCCTCCTCCTTCTTCTCCTTCTTCCTTCTCCTCCTTCCTCCTTTTCCTTATTCCTTCTCCTTCCTCCTTTTCCTCTTCTCCTTCCTCCTCTTCCTTCCTCCTCCTCTTTCTTCTCCTTCTTCTCCTTCTTCCTCCTCCTCCTTCCTCTTCCTTCTCTTCTTCTTCTCCTTCTCCTTTTCCTTCTCCTCCTTCTTCCTCCTCCTCCTTCTCCTTATTTCTTCTCCTTCCTCCTCTTCCTCATTCTCCTCCTCCTTCTTGTTCTTCTCCTCCTCCTCCTCCTCTTCCTCCTCCTTCTCCTTCTTCTCCTTCTTCCTTCTCCTCCTTCCTCCTTTTCCTTCTCCTCCTTCTTCCTCCTCCTCCTCCTTCTTGTTCTTCTCCTCCTCCTCCTCCTCTTCCTCCTCCTTCTCCTTCTTCTCCTTCTTCCTTCTCCTCCTTCCTCCTTTTCCTTCTCCTCCTTCTTCCTCCTCCTCCTCCTTCTTGTTCTTCTTCTCCTCCTCCTCCCGCCTCCTCCTCCTCCTTTTCGGAATGTTCCTTCAAGCAGTTTTTTAAAAGTATTTCGAATACAAAGCAACCTCCTGATGCTACTGAAATATTCAAAACCATGGGACACAGGAACCCATGGTGCAAGGAAAGTGCAGGTTTACAGCATATTAAATGTTATGATCGTACGAAAGGCCAAAATCTGCAATATAAAACTTTTATTTTCTTTTTTTCTTTTTGGCATTCTTTATGCACTGTGAGGCGGCTGGGATTTCTCACTGCCTTTGTAAATCTTGACTGTGAGCCAACCAAAGATCAAATGCCACTGGCCAAGCAATGGACTCCTGTAACAGAAAACCATTTGCAAAATATATTTGAAAACAACTTGGAGGACAATTGTGCCTGTCTCGCTCCTTTACAACCTTTTTACGGCTGAGAAGAGGGAATTGAGAAAGGTGAAACCTTAAAGCCATCTTGATAAAACACAAGCCACCCTTTAGAGTCACACGGGTGAACGAAATACAGAGTCCCCCAGGTGCTTTTTCAAAAGGCAACTGGACTTTCTTTGTTTTTTTCCTTGAAGCCGTTTCACTTCTCATCCAAGAAGCTTCTTCAGTTCTGACCGAATGGCGGAGAAAGGAAAGATTGATATTCTTTAAAGTCATCTGGTCGTTGGCGTTCTTTCTGAAAGTCGTTGAGGCCGCTCGGAGGTTTATCCGTGCCATTTGAATAGTGCAAATGGGTGTGGAACCTGTTTGGAAACTGTGACCCCCCCGAGGGCCCAGAAAAACCTCCAAGTGGCCTCAACGGCCCTCAGAAAGAAATGACTGTAAAGAATATCAATCTTTCCAATCTGTCCATCTGCATTCGAAAGACAAAAGGCCACTCTTTGGAAGACAGGAAAGTCCACATCTTGGACAGAGCGGACCGCTGGTTTGAGAGAGGGGTCAAAAAGAGGCCATCTTGGTCAAAACTGAACAGCCCTCTCTCAAAAGATGGAGGACGGATACAACATCATCTATCTCCAGTCTACAACACAGTCCTTTCGGCAGTTCCAAGAAGACTCCGTAGGCGTTTGCATCTCTCAGGTGACCCAGAGGACAAAGACAAACCTCCAAGTAGCCTCAGTGACTCACTAAAAGGATGCAAATGACCAGCTGTCTGCAAGGAATATAAATCCTTCCATTCCCCCACCATCCAGGCAGAGCTGAAGAAGCTTCTTGGAATGAGAAGGGAAACGTCTTCAAAAGAAAAACCAAGGAAGTCCAGTTGCCTCTTGAAAAAGAATGTTTGGGACATCCATAGCCTGTTGTTTTGACCCAAACCTTGTTCCAAGGAAACAAACACAAAACAGAGGAACAGCAAAACCTTTTAAAGATTCTTTACGAATTCCGTTCCTTCACGGTTAAAAAGGCTGTTTCAAATAAATTGTCTCTGATAAGAACGAGCCTTGCCAAAGCGGTGCAAGGCTGCCAAGGACACTAGATAAAGTGATTAAGAAATATTTCAAACACAAAGAGTCTCCAAACACCAACTAAGATAATCTGAATGTCCACAAGGCTTGAGTGCAAAAACTTCTTTGCTTCCTGCAAAGAACTCCGGTTTCTCAGCTGGCTTTTATCTCTCAAGGGAAGGGCCAATACCTTGCAGCCTTACTCCCAAGTCACCCGAGCTGCTGCAGCTGCTCTTTCCTTCAAGCAGCCCTGCGCGCACACACACTGGGCACAGGCTCCTCGGGAACCTCTTCCTCACTGCTTCCTCACCTCCACAATCTCCAAAGGCAGCATTCCACTCCCTGATGGTCCTGCCCCATCCCTGCATCACACGCAGGCCCCTCATCTGAGTCCTCACTCTCCGAGACCTCAGCCATTTGCACCTGCTGCCGCCGGCGAACCACAACACCTGGATGACTGAGAATCTCTACAGACATTTAGGCCAGAGATTGATTTTTGTGTGCCTTAGATTCAGAAAAAGGGAAACAACAGAGTTGGAAGGGATCTTTGAGGTCTTGTAGTCCAACAGCAGTGTTAAAAATATGAATTCTAGTCACTGTAGCCACAGACCACAGGAAGTGATAAAATGTAAGAAGTCTGATAATTTAACAACTGGGGTGTCCACAGAATCAACTCACCTTATCCAAAAAATCCTTGAAATTCTGAACTTTTCCACGTTTTGCGATTTGGCTGGATGGGGCTTGTTGGATGATTCTTTGTATAGGCTTCCTTGGTTTATAACCAGAGGTGCTATTCAGCCAGTTCTGACCAGTTCTGGAGAACCGGTAGCGGAAATTTTGAGTAGTCGGAGAACCAGCAAATCCCACCTCTGACTGGCCCCGCCCCCATCTATCCTCTGCCTCCCGAGTCCCAGCTGATTGGCTGAGTCTTCTTTGGTTGCCCTGCACAGGAGAACGGAGCTGGAAAGCAGGTTAGTGGGGTGCAGAGGGAATAGGGATTTTGCAACAACCTTCCCCCAGGATGGCGGGGGGAATGGAGATTTTGCGGTATCCTTCCCCTGCCACGCCCACCAAGCCACACCCACAGAACCGGTATTAAAAAAATTTCAATCCCACCACTGTTTACAACTATACATTTAATGACCATTCAACGTTCCAACTGCACTGGAAAAAAGTGACTTATGACCATTTTTCACACTTATGACCGCTGCAACATCCCCATGGCCAGGTGATCAAAATTTGAATGCTTGGCAACGAATTCATATTTATGACAGTTGGAGTGTCCTGGGATCTTCCGACAAGCAAAAGGAAGGGAAATTCACTTAAACAACCGTGTTACTAACTTAGCAACTCCAGCAATTCAATTAACGGTGGCAAGAAAGGTCATAAAAATGAGGCAAAACTCACTTTACAGCTGTCTTGCATAGCAATGGAAATTTTGGGCTCAAATATAGTCATCAGTCCAGAACTACCTGTGTATATTATATATACAGCAAACAGAGAATTTTGTTCTCTTAACCTAGATTTAGGGCAAAAGAAGTTGTGTGAACCTAACCAACATTTAATGGACCTTGACAGATAATCACAGTTGGAAGGGACCTTGTAGGTCATCTAGCCCAACCCCCCGCCGAAGCGGGAGACCCTACACCATTTCTGACAGATGGCAGTCCAATCTCCTCTTGAAAGTCTCAAGTGATGGTGCTCCCACACCTTCCGAGGGCAACTTCTGTTCCATGGGTTGATTGTTCTCACTGTCAGAAAGTTTCTCCTTATTTCCAGATTAAATCTCTTCTTGTTCAGTTTCCATCCTTTATTCCTTGTCTGGCCTTTAGATGCATACTACATGGCTATGACAGATACACCTTGTCATACCCATGTAGTAAAATAAGGGAACGAGTACACAGCAATGCCTCTTTTCCTTACTTTTCCGTCTCTTCAGCGAGACTCCAAATTGGTATCAAACAAATTCCAGAACTTTTTTTGAAGAAAAGCTTAAAAATGCAAACTAAGTAGAAATCACTCATTGTTCTGGGATTTTAAACATGGGTATAGTACTAAGAAGTATGAAGCTAGAAGAGATTTGTTCTTATTTGTAATCTAAGCTTTCCCTATTTGCATAGCCTAAATTTTTACCAGCGTTTCGAGTTACAGTTGGTAACTCAGAAATATGAAGGCAATAAGACTGTAAAAAAAGTTTGCCCGCAGCAAACAATATACTTTGCAATATACTTCCAAAAATATATTGCACTTCCTAAAGAAATTGCTTCTGAATCTCTGGGTTAAGCTAGATAGAGTCAAGACAATGAGAAGTGTTAGTACCCTTTTATAATACCTTGGTAAGACTACACTTGGAATACTGCATCCAGTTCTGGTCACCACAATGTAAAAAGGTGTTGAGACTCCGGGAAGAATAGAACAGAACAGGGCAGGGCAGGGCAGGGCAGGGCAGGACAGGAAAGGAAAGGAAAGGAAAGGAAAGGAAAGGAAAGGAAAGGAAAGGAAAGGAAAGGAAA